GGTCACGAGTCCCAGCGAAGCCGGTTCTTTACCCCTTTGGGGCCGCGGCCCCGGCCCGGCTCCCTCCCCGCTCAAACCGGGGGCAGCGGGTGTGCCGAGGTACTTTTCCTGGAGGAACCCCGGGGCCCGCCCAGAACCCCCTACTCGGAGGGAGCCGCAGCAGCTCCGACCTCAGGCTTGGAGAAGAGAAGGCTCCGGGGAGACCAGTACCTGAAGGGGCTACAGGAAGCTGGGGAGGGACTTTAGACAAGGGCACGGAGTGACAAAACAAGGGGAAATGGCTTTAAACTGGAAGAGGGGAGGTTTAGATGAGATATTAGGAAGAAATTCTTCCCTGCGATGGAGGTCAGTCACTGGCCCAGGTTGCCCAGAGAAGCTGTGGATGCTCCTCCCTGGAAGTGTTCAAGGCACAGGCCTGTGCAAGTCCAGTGACTGTGTAGAACCTATGCAGGCCTTCCTAACAACTATGCCCTTGAAAAGGAGCTAAACGACTGATAAAAGGAGAACATCCTGCCCTAGAAGGCACCAAAAGCTGGATAATTGCCTGAGAAGGATGAAGTCAGCAAGAATCTGCAGAAATGGGGAAAGGTAAATGTGGCAGGGGGGGATCACAACCACAACTCAATTAGAGACTGAACAGACTTACCTCACCCTGTATTAGAGCATGGGCTGTGCAAGTGTTGTGTACTCTACTCTGAAAAGCTAAGCCAGAGAGGTTTGCACCACCTCTAAGGTAGAATAGTAATGCCTACGTATAGTGGGTGGAACAAATTTATTGATTATGTATAAATGTGTGAAGTTTTGTGAACTTGGTGTGCTGGATTTGGGGTGATGCAGCCCTAGCCCCCAGCACTAATGCCTGCTACTTAAGGCTACATTGGTGTTAAAGAGTTTATTCCTGATTTTGGCGACAGGTAGGACAGATCATTGGACAACTCTGTGTTTTATGAGACTGTCCGGCTCTGTCACCATCTCCCTGGAGCCCAGAGCTGGCTCTGCCACACAGAGGATGAGATCTCTGCCCATCATCTCCCATGCAAGCCAGAGCACAGCCCATGTGCTCACAGCAGTTCCAGGCAACATCAAGATCCTGACTGCAAAGGTTTCCTCTGGAAAGAGGGCACAGAAAACACTTAAAACTAAACAGAGCTGAGGGTTTTATTATAAAAGGTGATCTATTCTGTTTCAGTCCTTTGGGAATTCAGCTTTATCCAAGAGTAATTCCGAGTCTTGGAGAAGTCTTTAAAGGCTTCATGGGGGGAGACTTCAGCAGGTGGTGATGGGGAGACTGACCAGGTTAGCTGGAAAGGTCCTGGTTTGAGGCCCTGAGGTAATCCTGTATGCTTCTGGCAAGAGAGTCACCGTGTGGGAACATCGCCTGTTCCAGACACGAAACCAGGTACAAAGGGAAGGGCCTGAAAGAGAAGGGAGGGAGCGTCACAGCAAGGTCTGTGGTGTACCCTCGCCGTGGTCTGACGAGGAAGTTTGCCCCCCAGTGTTGCCCCCAGCCTCTGCCCTCACATTTGCCACCACAGAACCAGGCTTTGGCTCTGTGACAGCTCTTTTTCTGTGTCCCTGCAGAGCCACAGCCTGTGGTCTCTCAGAGCAGACGTGGGGGGTGAAGCTCCTCAGACACATCTGAGGAGCGTGGGTGCGGACTGGCAGGAACTGAGCTAAACTGTCCTCCCCAGTTTGAAACACCAGCTGCACTGCTGGAGCTCTCTTGTGCGGCCAGCTGAGATCCCATCCCTCCCTCTACACACCTTCCCTCCTCCTCAGGAGGGCTCTGGGAGAGCTTTTGCCAGCAAGCTGCTGCCTCCTGCTTTCGGTTCAGTTTCCACAAGGCCTGCACCAGGTAGGAAGTGGCAGCTGGGTCACCTGCAAGACACAAAGGGGATTGAGCCCTTAGCAGGGGAGGAGAAGGTTCCCAACGCTGCTGTGGGTTGCAGAACGTTGCAAAAGAAGCTGGTGAGGGAGGTGAGCGTGGGGAGAGGCGGTGTAACAGGGAGGAGACTGTCTGGCTGTGTCACAGGCTCCAATTAAGCCCGGGGCTGGAAGCCAAGGCAGATGGCATCAGCCCTGTGGCACAGCCAGCCACGCCTCTGTTTGGACACAGGTTGGGGTTCTCCTGGGAGGCAGGTCTGCACCCCTGAAGGGAGGGAGCCCTGGTCAGGACTGGGACCAGCAGGTTTGGCAGATCCTGGTGAAGCTCACACCCCACCAGTGTGTCAGCACAGCCGAAGAGGGTCACCCTGGAAGCAGCGCCAGCTGTGCCTCAGCTGTGCCCGGGACACACACAGCTAGCTCCCTGCTCTGCTCCCAGGCATGGACATGCTGCTTCCTGGGATGAAGTGAGAGTCCAGCTGCTGTTCTGGGAAACCAGACCCTCTCTGGGAGAAAGCTGGCCGTACCAGGCTGGGGTTTGGGCAGGAAGAAAGAAATTTCCAAGCTGTCTGAGGGCACAGGTTGTGGGGAGGGTTCCAATACGCTCCTCTGACAATAGTTTTGGTCCACTTCTCCAGGGCAGTGAGCTCACCAGGCCCCAGAGAAGCATCTCAAATACATAAAGTTGCTAGTAGCCCTACTGTAGTCCTTGATGTTTGAATAAGTTTGGTCTAAGGCTTAAGACCTTTCTGCTCAGCAAAGTGACCCAGGGCAAAATTTATGGATCTCCCCTCTGTTCCTCACCAAAATGAGGCTCTTACCTGGCGAGATCTGCAAACCGTGCTGGAAATCCAACAAGGCTTCCTTGTGCCTCCCCAGCTCCAGGAACTGTGTACCTCGCCCGATGAGGGAGAGCAACCTGATCTTCTGGAGCACCTCAAATTCTGGCAGGAGATTCTCTGGCACAGAAAAGATACACACACCTGCAGACAGCATTCTCCACATCCCAGCAGGCTGAGCCCAGTTAGCAGTCTGGATGGGCTGCTCATCTTCCAGCTCCCCAAGCCCTCAGTGGCAGAGCTCAGCTTCTCTGCCAGGCTGGGAGAGGCCAGGAGGTGGCAGAGGATGAGAGCGAAGAACACCGAGAGCTTGGTACCTTACATGGCTGTGATGATCAGTGACCTGGGCAGCAGCCTGGCCTTCAGCTGCCCATCTGCACAACTGCTACAGATCTCTAGTGTTCAAGGCCAGGTTGGATGAGGCTCTGAGCAACCTGGTCTAGTGGAAGGTGTCCCTGCTGATGGCAGGGGGGTTGGAACTGGATGGTCTTTAAGGTCCCTTCCAACCCAAACCAGTCTGTGATTCTATGATCTCTTCCCTGAAATCTGGATTTGAGAAGCTTCCTGGTTCACAGCCCATTTAACTGTCACTTAGACAGTGGGTCTGGAGACAGAGCCGAGGCCAAACCCTGCTCCACCCAAACCAGCCAGTACCTTCAGAAGCTCCATCATGGCACACAGCTCAGCACACTGGGACAAGTACTTCCTGCCAGAGGTGATGCCGTGCCTGGCCCCTTGCCCCTGTACCCACTGCTGCCAAGCACGCAGATCCCACCCCAGCCAGGCCCTGCACAGGTCCCAGCCCTGCAGTGTCCTACCTGTTGGTTCAATGCCAGACCCACAGAGCTGGACTCGCAAGAGATCACCAAGGCACCTGCGGGTGGGAGGACAGAGGAACTTTGGTACCAGCCCTGGGCTGGGAAGCCAGCTGTCAGGCCACCCCCTGTGCCACACTGCGCTGTCCCCTGCCAGCCGTGGCTGCCCCCTTCCCCCAGTGAGGTTCCGTCACCTGCTGAAGTGCGTTATGGCCTCCTTGCTCTCGCCCAGCGCGGCCCATGCCCAGCCCTGATGCAGGTATCCAGCTGCTCTCCAGGCAAGGCAGCACAGACTCTCCTTCTTCTGGGACAGGAGTCCACCCACCAGCCCTGCCCCTGGTGAGGGACACTCTGGCTGCTCCAGCCTCTCCTCCACTCGTAGCATCCGTGGGATCAGGTCAGTCGTTCGGCTGATGACCTCCTCGCACAGGGTGATGGCGTCCTGGTGCCTCCCAGCCTGCTCCAAGGCAGATGCTGCTTCCAGGAACACCTCAGGGATCCTGGGCAGAGCTGAGCTACCATCCAGGGGCACCTGGGGAGCAAAAGCGATGTCAGTGCTCAGACACAGAGCACTCAGCCAAGTGGAATGACCCCGTGCTTACTGGGAACCCGGAGCTGCTGCCCAGCAAAGCTCAGACCCACTCCCACAGACACTGGAACCTGTCGGAGGAGGCAGAAGCTGCGAAGCACCAACAGCTCAGCCGAGTCAAGTTGGCAAATCCCTACTCTCAAAGTGAAGGACATCCAAAGCCAGTCCAACTGCTGCTCCCCACAGGGAAGGGGAAGCTCATTCTCCAAATAGCAGTGGCAAGTGGTCTCTGTTGTGGATCTAAAGGCAGACATGCCACAGGTCAGGGTGCCAGCCCTACACCTCACATCTCAAACTAGACACTGAAACCCGGAGTCCAGGAGTAACACCTGTGCCCAGGCGTTGGGAAAGGGACCCAAACCTCATCTACCAAATCACCAAGGGAGCTCTTCACCAGCACACCTACCTGCTGCTGCAGACCCTCCTGAAGCAGAGCTAGAAAATCCAGGTAATGTTCCACTGCATCAGCCACCCTGCAACAGGGACAGGACATGTAGTGGGAAGAGCAGAGGGACAACCAGGTGGAACCTGGATTGCCAGCCCACAGGCTTCTCCCTGCTCTGGATTTGCTCTGCTTGTGATACCCACGCTTTGAGCAGACCTACAACAGCAGGACTGAACTGGATGATTTCCAGGAGCACAGGGAAAACTGCAGCATGTGGAGAGCTGTTACCTCCCGTCCTGGAGACACCGCTGTGCCAGCAGGTATTTCACTTCAGAGGGCTGGCGATGGCGAAGGAGAGAAGCCAGTAATGGTGTGTGGACAAGGAGCTCTGTTCGCATTAGGAAATGTGGACTAGAGGAAGAAGCTGCTGGAGGGTTTTTTTCCAGAGCCTGGTGAAACAGGAACAGAAAAAACGATCAACACAACACTGGTCAAGACAAGGGACAGGCAGAGAGATCTCCACACAGCATCAGGAGATTTGCAAGATCACCTCAGGTTTTTAGTTCATGGTGCTGCCTGGAACACCATCTCCCATTATAGCCACAGACCTAGTTAGACCAGATCTTGGGCCATTCCTAACGAGAGAGATACCTCTCCAAACACAGCTGTGTTTGTATCTTATGTATTTCACACAGCTGAAGGTGTCTGCTGCTGCGACCCGCTCCTCCCAGGCAGAACAACGTTGCCACAGCCAACACACATCCCCGCAGCCACAGTCTGCCTTTTAAAGGCCTCTTTGCTATTAGAGACTTTATTAAGAGACTGATACTTTCTGACATAAAAGTGAAACCTCTTCTCCCAAGCCACCAAGAACGTGAACTGGGACCCAAAGGTCCTGCCACATCCAACAGCCAGGTGCTGAGCAGGAATTTCAGATCAGGCTGGGCTCCTTCCTGCCCACTGCTGAAGGCAGGACCATGGCTGGATTGCTGTAGTCCACTTTGGGGACCCCTCCAGGGTCAAAAAGCCCTGCCTAGAAGGCAGGAGCCTGCTTGAAGCTCTGTACAGGTGCTACTGGGCAAAAATCATCCCAGAACTACAGGAAGCAGACAAACCTCGTAGAGCAGAGCCAGGGCTTGCAGCTCTGCATCGGTCTCCCCCAGCTCATGGTACACTGCTGCCACATGGGACAGGGCAGGAAGGCACTGGAAGTCCACCTGGAGGGCCCGTTTCAGGTGCTGAAGGGCTGTCTGAGGCTTGCCCTAGTTAGATGGGAAGAGGTGCACGTTGCAAGGACATCTTGCTGACAACTTTACTGTCTGGTGGGATCCAGATCCCTGCTCTGCTTCCCCAGCAATCACAGTAAGCACAGGCTTTAGGCAAAGGCAGCCCTCCTCAGGCTAGTGTTTGAGCTTCTCTCTCTGCAGCCACTCTTGGCACTCACCCAAAATCCCTTCCTGGATTGTGCAGCTGTCCAAGGAGGTTAGGGCCAGAAGAGGAACTTCTGCTCAAGACCCACCCCCTGCTTCCAGCAGCAGCCTAGGACCACGCAGAGGCAGCGTGGACACCAGCCTGAGCCTCCCCACCCTGCTGGTGGCTGCAATCCCCTCTCCCTGCTGACAGGGGACAGGCCCAGCCGTTACCATTCGCTGAGCGCAGCAGCTGAGGCAGGTGTAGATCTGGGCCAGGACCCTCTTGGAGCAGAATCCTCCTGCAGCCTCCTGAAGGAGAGAGAGGGCGGTGGGGAAGTTCCCAGCTTCCAGCTCCTGCAGCCCTAGGACAGACCCAACAACTCAGCTCGGTGGTTCCCCTTCCTGCCTGGTCCCCTCTGCACCCAGCAGTGGCGCAGCAGGATGGTGCCAAGCTGCCATCTTTGGTTTGATGATGTTGCAAGAGAACAAGGCACTCGATGGAAACATCCAGCAGAAATAATAGCAGCTTCCAAGCCCAGATACTGAGATGTGAGCCTTGGCCCACAACAAGGCCAGAGGCAGGTGCTGGGCAGGTCCAGCTGCACACTGATCCACAGTGGCAGGGGTGCAGATGGGGAAGCACACACAGAAGCTCAGAAACTTTTTCCAGCACATCTGGGCTATTTCATAGAATCACAGAACCACAGACTGGTTT